CCTTCCACTTAGCATACAGCCTTAGGGTTTCCTTGTGTTGATGTCGGTTGCTTCTATCTCCTCTTCGGCCAGCTTATTATCCCAGCAGGGTACCTGATCACGGGCAGGGCGTAGGTGTTGATAGTGCGGATCTTGTTCTTACCCTTCAGCTGACTCCTCAGGACTTGCCTGACCCTCTGCAGGTACTTGGTGGTTGCAGCTTTTCTAGCGGCCTCTTCATGGTTCCCATTTGCCTGTGGGATCCCCAGGTACTTGTAGCTGTCCTCTATGTCCGCAGTTTTGCCTTCTGGGGTGACCGTGGCTCAGGGGGTTGGGAAGCGTATCTGTAACCGGAAGGTCGCCGGTTTGATCCCCGGGCTCTCTGTCCTGGTCGTTGTGTCCTTGGGCAAGGCACTTTACCCTACCGCCTACTGGTGTTGGCCAGAGGGGCCGATGGCGCGAAATGGCAGCCTCGCTTCTGTCAGTCAGCTCCAGGGCAGCTGTAGCTACAACCATAGCTTGCCTCCACCAGTGTGTGAGAGTGAATGAATAATGGCATTGTAAAGCGCTTTGGGTGCCTTGAAAAGCGCTATATAAATCCAATCCATTATTATTATTATTAGTTCTGACTACTTTCTCTCTCTTTGTTATCATCCAACTACACTTCTCCAGTCTGAACGACATTCCGATGTCATTGCTTTATATCCTGGTGGTGTGGATCAGTGAATCAATGTCTCGTTCACTCTTGGTATACAGCTTGATGTCATCGGGATCCATGTCCTCTACATTGCTCCATTCCGTAATTGGTATCCGTAGCCAGTCTTGTCAGTCAATGGTCTCACTGAGGAGGTTCAGGCCTATGCAGAACAGCAGTGAGGACAGAGCATCTCCTTGGTAGCTATTCTGGGTGTGTCTCATCAGCTAGCAGCTGGTTGATTTGTACTGCCAGATGTTTGTGGAGTGCAGTCAGCTTTTTCAGCCAGTAAGCGTGAATCATGTCAGGGCCTGGTGCTGTCCAACTCTTCATTCCCACTAGTGCTTTCAGGTTAATCTCATTGAAATGACCTTAACGCCACAACACGGCAAATCTCCGTTAACGAGCTACCCCTGATCG